TAACACCTAGAAAGTGAAAGAGATAGAAGTGTAGATATAATCATATAATAGATTATATAATGTGGTAGGAAGATAGATAGAGAAATAAGTGTTTGTGGTATCTATGATAAAGTGTCCATTATCCACTTATCATCATCCTTAGAAGAATATAGGTTTAGCTACCCTTTTTATTGTACAGTTTTATGAAATTTACCTTTTGATTCTTATAGTTAAAAACGTTTCATTTAAGTTCTTATACATGCTATTTTTGTTTCCTTTTAGCTCTTGCCGTCCCTTGCTGTATGGATTGAAATGTAAAGATTATACAACTAGAGGGGTCTAAAAGGTATTTAATCCAAAAATATATATACTGAAAATGAAAACAAAGAAGATTATCTAACATCCACTCAATGTTCCTTAGTTTTGTAACTCTTTACTTGCAGCCGTAAATCTTGATTATAAAAATTATGGAGGAATGGAGAAAAAAATATGGTGATACTGGCAATGGCAACATCTTCATCCGGTCTAACAGTCAGGACAATCACAATGTCTTTCCACATGTTGTGCAAACTAGAAGCAGAAGTAGTTTCTTGAACAGAAATTCTAGAGCAAAACAAGTTGTTGATCATGATCGAATTGGTAAAGGAAAACAGCTTAACCACACTTCTGGTGCTGCCCATTGTAAAGCTGAGATTACAGTCAGTGAAGTGGAAACTGCCCTTGCTTATTTGCGTACTAAGAAGGACTCAGACTCTAACTTATTCTACGAAACAAAGATTGTTGAAGGTCGTTTAGCATCTCTTTTTGTGGCAGACTCTGTTGCTCAGTTGGATTATGCCTGCTTTGGAGATGTGATGGCAGTCTGTAGGATGAATTCATACAAGATGCACTTTGTCATATTGGCTGGCCTCAATCATCATCATCAAACATGTATATTTGGATGTGCTTTACTTCATGATGAGACTGTCGAGGCATACTCATGGTTGTTCCAAACATTACTTCATGTGATGCAGGGTTGCATGCCCAAATCTGTTGTCACTGATGGTCATGAATCTGTGTGTAAAGCTATCAAGCATGCGTTGCCACGATCACGACACCGGCTATGTGCATGGCATCTTGAGAATGATGCACATTCCATTGTTGATGACCCCTCTTTCATATCTGACTTCAAAGTGTGCATGTTGGAGGCTCTTTCGCTTGATGATTTCGAGGTTAAGTGGAAAGTGATGGTTGGCAAGTATAAGTTGTTTGAAAACTCATGGATCCATAGCATGTATGAGAAACGCCATATGTGGGCAGATGCTTACTTTAAGGGACATTTCTGTGCTGGGTTGAAAAGCACAAGATTATGTGAAAGCATTTATGAATGTTTGAGTAGGTTTGCACAACATAAACTGAAACTGTGTCAATTTATTGATCTATTTGATAAGGCAGTTCTTAAACTCCGGTGGAATGAGGGGAAGGTTGAATATGATGCTACTAGTGAGTCGTTTGCTCTCTCAACTCGTGTGAAAATTGAGAAACATGCTGCCGAGGTGTTTACAAGGGAATCTTATAGAATGTTTCTTTCAGAGATGTGGTTGGAGACACATTTGTTTGTGTTAAACAAACATGATGGTTCAAACATTCGGAAATACAGATTGGGAAGCTCTAAGCATCATAGCTTAGCATGTGATATTATGTTCAAGCCTAGTGGTCCAAGTATTAAATGCTCATGCTTGAAGTTTGAGACAACAGGGTTTCCTTGCTGTCACGCTATTCATATAATCAAATGTGAGCAATTAGAAAAAATTCCCCGAGATCTCATACACCCAAGATGGACAAAATCAGCAAAGTCCACTGCACAATTTTGGCAGGGTTTCTTGCCTCCAGTGTCTAATGATGTTGTGACAAGAATGATGCGTTATGGTAATTTGATGTCACATTGTTTAGTACTAAGTTACTTGGGGTCAAAATCAGACCAGATATTTAACCTTGTACACAATAGATTGCAAAAGTTAATGCATGAAATAAAGGAGTTATCATTTTCCCCTCATGCAAGCAATAGTGGGGCACTTGGTATACCTACTAAGGTGAAAGATGGTGGACCTGTCTCAAGAAGTGAAAGATCCAAAAGTGATGATGATCATTCCAGAAATGTGGAACAGATCAAACACAAGTATCCTAAACTCATCAGTGCTGGAATTAGTGTGGCAGACAAATGTCCCATAGTTATGCAAGCCACCTTGTGTAATTCATCTGATAAGGCCTAAGGGTAGGGACATTGTTACCAACTCTCATGTATCTCAGTGACAAGTTGATGTTGAGAGGTGCATCAATCAAACAGATGATAGCTCAACAATTGATAATGGATCTAATACTGTCAATACCTATTAGCAGGGCTAATTCAACATATAAATTTTTTCCTTTTCTGTCTCTGTTTCTAAAAAAAACTGTCATTAAGAAGATATTTACTTGTACCTTATTGCATTTTGGCTCCTTTGATGAGACAGTTTGGGCTATGAATTTTGCCTTTCCATGGTGGTGTGTACATTCCGAACCATGATATTGCTAGACATCGATATTGGCAATTGTTGATGTGGTGGGCCTTAGGATCTTTTTAAGTTCTATGACGTTACTTTTCTCCGCACAGGTACATGAATAATTTATCGTTATTTTTTGGTCACAAAGGTTCACTTGATCGAGACCGAATTAGGATAATCATTTTTTGGAATAAAGATCAGTGTGGTGACTTGCTTAACAACGTCTACAATTTCAGAGAAAAAAAATGACTACTTGCTTGTGGTTCTTGAATAAATCTGTAATCAGCCAAAATTTCGAGTTAAATGAACCTTACATCAATTTATCAATTTTTTGAACAATGTTTGATATCTCGAACCAAATGATAAATTTAAATGTTTTTGGTTTCTATAATATTGGTTGGTTTAGATTTAGATTCTAGGCTCCGCTTTGAGTTTCAAATATTTGAAATTCAAATTTGGACAACTATGATTATTAGTTAGCTTGAGTACAAGTTAATTCAATTATGATATACTTAATTGTAGTTACTTAACTTGCATCATAGACTAACCAAACTTATATATAGATGATTCTTTATACATATTCGTTACTTTTGAGATTATATGAGCGAAAATTGAGTTTTTCTCTCAACTTTAAAGAGTCAACTCTTTCTCTCTTAGAATGCAATTCCATGAACAATTCTTATGAATGAACTTTTTCTTGTGGTGAGTCACATTTTAGGCTTATTTCTCTCTTTGAGAGTGATGCCAATCCATTCCTTTCCATCTCTATTTTTGTGTTCTTCATTTGAGCACCTCATGAATGAAGGATCTTGGGATAGGAAAATTTGAATATAAGACAATCACTCTTTGAAGCTTCTTCCATCACCTTAGATCACTAGTAAGCATTTTCAAAAAACAAAAAATATTAACATCTTTTCTAACACTATTAATAGACGTTTGGTACATAAAATGTTTTAACAATTTCAGAAATCTTAAATTGGAAATCTTAGTTTCTCATGTTTGGTAGTTATTAAAAAAAATTTCTAGGAGATATACTTTATCAAAAATCATTTTTATCTCACTTTCTCATAAAAAAATTCTTATAAAAGGTTAGAAATCCAAATTTTCTAAGTTAGAAAAAAGTTTTATGTATATAAAAGCACCACAGTATCCTTTTTAAAACAAAATATATAGTTAGAATTTATCTTCTTCTAAAACATTCATCTTCTCAAATATTTTATTATTCATTTTCAAATTCTAGAAAGAATAACAACATTGTGTATTTTCTCACAAGTTCCATGTAAATCTTTCTCTTTCCCTCGATCTCTTATTCTTATATCTATGTGTGATGTGAATATTTGTTCATTGTACCTAATAATAAAAATCAAATAATTATATAATTTTCATAAGATATGATATTTTTATAATTATTTAAAATTTATAAATTATAAAATTACGCTACTAATTTCTTATTATGATTTTTAGCTTCTAAATTTAACAAATTATTTAAGCAAAATAACATTATATATGTTCTTTATTGTTTTCTAATTTACTTATATTTTAATTTTAATTGTTAATTTAATTTTTTTTCTTACTATGATAAATCATGAAAACTATATTTTACACTTTGATTTAGAGTGTATTTTGCATATAGTTTAATCATGTGTAAATTGTTAATTTGTTATTTTAAGTTAAATATAATTTTTTATGTTAGATTATCACACAATCACACCATATAAGAAGGAAAAACTCAATTTTTGTAAAAAAAATATTTATATGCTAGGAAAAATAATATTATAACTAAACATGAAAATTTTTATTTCTCAAAAAATCTATATATAAATATTTTCAAAAATATTTATGAGTAATCAAACGAATTTTAATCATTTCTAAGAATTATGATTCTTGAATTTGTAATTCTTAAAAACCATGATTTTCAAACATAAAAAAACTTCTTTCCTATCAAATACCTCTCATATTTTTACTATTGACCAAAAATTATTAAGAATCCCAACTTTTGAGAAGTTTCACTTCTAAACGAAGACTCGTTAAATAGAGAAATAAACTTCACTAAAATTTGTTAATAATTATCAATAAGTTTTGATCAATAATTAAAAAAAATGTAAGTGCTAATAACATTCCTCGTTTATATAAATCATTATAATAAAAAAAATATTCTATTGATAGCATTATCCAAAGGTTATTATGCCACCAAGAGTAGACTCAAAAATATTTTTATTTTTAAATTAATCTTTTAAAGAAAAGTACAAAACAATTACCAAATTCATTTATCAATATACATTACCACTTCAGTCCTTTATGAGGTTAATTGTAATAGCATTTTGAATATTTAAGGAATTATTAAAAAAAAAATCTTTCTAGCCATTATAGAACACGTGGTGATTGGGTAATCATTTAAGAGGACTAATATAGAAAGTTAATTTAATACTAATGAAGCATAAATGAATAATCATTTTTTACCACATAAAAAATCAAATACTTAAGCACTAAGTACAAAATTAATTAATATGTATTACAAATGAAGCCACTAACAATCGAATAGCTTCTGTCAACAACAATCGCCATCATTAGCAAAAACAGGCACCACCTGCTAATGACTGAGGTAAATTATAGACAACAGTACACCTACTCGTCGCCAAAACATTAAAGGAGAAAAAGAAAAAGAAAGACAGCTTCGGAATCTAATCAAGAACGAGCAAGGTAGGAGTCAGGCCACAGTGCTATATGAAGTAGCCATCACAAACCATTAGTGGTTTCTACAAATACTTTCGTGCAAGGGCTCTGACTTTAGTATCAAAGTGTGATGACGTGATCCGAGAGCCAGGCAGGTACAAGGGATTAAGAAGAGTCTGCAATTTCTCCAACATATAATTAAAGTTACTTATCTCTTACCAGTACAATAATTCATAATCCATAAAATGAAGTTTACAAACAGATTTAACATAAGATTCTGCATGTTATCTTCACAAACATATTAAGAGGACAATTAACAACTTCAACTTCTTTTCCTGATAGGAGTGTCCCCAATCATATCCTCACACAACAAAAAGTAGTAGTTGAGACTCGGAAACTCCAACTACCAAAAAGTAACCATTAGGAACTTATTTTGTATTCTGCATTTTCATAGGAAGATTAACGTATTCCAGAATAGTTAGGATGGAATTCGGCAAACTTCAGTAGAACTTTAAAATGCAAGTTTGTCATTCTGGTCGTTAATAATGTACCGGCTATCTACTAGGCAATTTAGCATGCCTTGATAATTACAGGAAAATGCAGAAAGTGGTTAATTCAACATTGATAAGACCAGAAAAAAAATTTATTTCAACAGCTATTGATATTTGTATAGTCGGCAAAGCATAGTTCAAGGAACGGATAAACATGAACTTTCTCATAATTCCATTTCAAGAGATGCGTCCTATTGCAGAATAAGAAAAGGCCACGTGTGAAATTAACTGAGTAAAGGCTACATATGAAACATGTAATAGGGTGTACAGAAAAAAGCATATTACCTTTATGTAAAGCTCATGCACCTCTTGGAAGAAACTTTTAATGCCATCATCATTACGAGAGTCATGTAGCAACATAAATCTGGTATGTATGACAAGTCAAGGAAAATAACACAAAAAAAGTGCTTGTAAGCTTTAAAGTTCTCCATTCTTGGCTCTTTCAATTTGTTCCCCTGCCAGTGACGGGCAAGGGAGTTATGAGCAGGGTACAATTAAAGAAGCAAGCTCAATTGATTGATCCTCAAAGATGGGTACTCAGTCATTTACTTGGACAAAACAATATTAAACAGAAAAGGTGAACATAACAAAAAGAGCAACACAATTTTTATCTCAACTATAAAATAATCCAGTATATAAAGGATATGACCAGCTGTAACATACACTGATACCACGAGTTCATTAAACCTGTCTACTGATTTCAAGTACCTGCATGGAGAATGTTAAGGAACATGTTGAGAAAAAGAACATAACATCGAGAAAAAGCACAAAAGAGGATGATAATGCCAAAGTTTCACATTTTGAACTAGGATTTGTATCAACTGAAATGTAACTCACATAGCACTAGTAGTCCATGCAAGGTCCTGAACAATATCAAGAGCAGCATGGAGGATAAATTGATGCAGCTGAGCAGCATCCTCCCTCTGTCAAAAGGTAGCATGGAATTGCAAAAGGATGTAAATTTTTAATGAAGAAAACAAGAACCCCTTGCTTTCAAAAAGCCACACAAGACAAGGTGACGCACGAGATTCAAATATGCATTTACATTAATCAGGCAAACAATTGACAACACAAATCTAATTCTTCCATAACATTTTTCAGACACTAAACAGCCTAAAAATCACATAACTTAAATTGATGCATGAGTGGTCAATCCACCTAAATAATAATAAATAAAAATAAAAAACATCTAGCAAGAAGCAAGTTAAAAAGAAAAAGAAAATATTTGCAAAAACTAAACAAAATAAATAAAGAGAATCATACTTTAGCAGCTACTCCAACCTCAGCTTCATATATAGGAATGTCATTTCTGCTAACAATGATGAAACAGGCAGTGGTTGCCATTATCAAGATCCTGCACCTACAAAACGCAAAAGAGGATACAAATATATTACTATTTTGCTTATGCTTATTATAATAATCAAAATCACAAAGAAAAATAAAACACAAATGGATCTAAACTTGAAGAGAGCATAAATGGAAATCAGACCCTCTACGGCAGTTGGATGAGATAAGGGAACAAGAAATCATATCATGTTGTCTAATATTGTCAATATCCTTAGATTTCAAAAGGAAACAGTAATTTTGATCTTGTGTTGCATGGTTGAATACACTAATTATGCATTATTGGATTTGGATATAAAATGGCATGGCTACTGAATTGAACTCTGAGGAGTTTTAAAGATTTCAAGGAATTTGAATAGCTGAAATTTGAATTGCTTTCAATTAAATTTCCTTATTTTCTAGATGCTCCGTTTGGATAAAGCAATTCAAATTTCTTAAATTTCTAATTCTTCAGTTAATTGTTTGAACTTTGAAATATTTTTGGTATAGTTTTAACAGGCTACTGCAACACTGTAAGGGGTGGAACAAATATCAAATGTCCAAGTTTAAGAGTATATGGTACTGAATTAGCCTTACCTGGGGAGAATCTGATTCATTCAGTTAAGAAAAGTTAATAATGATGACTCACGCCCAAAATCAGTTCTCTTCATTCACTTATCTCATTTTACATTTTCTGTCTGTCTGTGCATGGACTGAAACCACACTTGAATGCTCCTCTAAAAAAAACATCATCACAAGACTCGTACCACTCCCTTTTATGTCTGCTCAACCTTTTTCCTTTTTGTCTCTTCCTCTCCTCTTTACTGTATCTTTCTCTCTATCCCTCTATTTATACATTCCCTTTCCTCTGTTAAGAAATTCATCAAAGAGAGAAAGAAATGTCCCCAGCAGGTTCGTCAAAACCCTACCACAGAACAACTCATGATTTTGGAGGAACTGTACAGGATTGTGATTAGAACTCATAGTGCCTCTCAAATTCAGCAGATAAAAACCCACCTTTCTTAAACTTAAACTTGCTTGCACTAAAAGCAAAATCCAAGTGGCTAACAGCCAACTACAGTAGTATCTTTCCATTGTCACGCCACCTTTCGATAATGTCCAAACAATATACTAGCAGCAAAGGATTGCTCACTAAACATTCCATCTAATTTCAAGTTAATCACTTTGAATCCTCAAAAAATCCCAGTCCTTCCTTCATTCCCACTCCAAGGATCACTCTTCCAACCTAAACCCTAAACATCTTGAACACCTCACTGATTCCGCAGTGAATAAAACACAAGAGATGGTGATGACCAAGTGATTATTGGAATGAGCTACATAGGATCTCCTCAAGAGGCTTATTCTCAAGAATTGACGTAATTCCAATGAATCAGAAAGTTTACCCTCAATTGATGGAACTCAGAAGGACAGAGGAGGCCGGTTCCCCCCTTGTTCTACTTTTCTTTTGCTTAAGCATTACTATTTGCTACTCTCTTTTTTTTTTAATATATGAGAACTTACAACAACTCAGGCAACCTCCTCAACCAACTAAGCTAGATCCTCTAGATGCTTAAGCCTTACTACTACATAGTTATTACTAGTATCCCAATTGTCCCACCAATTCTGCTTGTTTTTTCTTCTCAATATATTGTTACTGACTAAATAAGTGATTGCACTCACCAAATATATTGGATTCTAATCCGATAGCCAACCACATCTCCCTTTACCCAAAATTTGTTTCACTCGGATCTGAAATGGTATTCAGAAGTATTTCTGATAATTCCTAGTTAACAGAAATTGAACAAGTGAAATGAAAATCGAAACACGAATTGAAGAAAATCAATGAAATTAAAAAAACACAAATTAAAGCGAGAAATCCCAGATCTGAAAGAGATGAAATGTACAGTGATGAGAGAGCGATAGAGTCGAACCAGCGGAGGAGTGAGTGAAGGGCTCCGAACAGAGCGAGCGAGCAGAACGTAGAGAGAGGGGCGTAGTTCGAAGGAAAACAGAGAAATTTAAATTCTTTATTTTTTAAAAGAAATTTAAATTTGGTGTAAAAAAACTTTAAATTCTATTATTTCAGTTAATTATATTATAATTTATATATTAAAGTACTTTTTATTATAATTTTTCATTATATTAATAAATATATATATATTCCATTCAAATAAATTATTTTAGTATACATTTTAAATTCATTAGAAGACGGTGATGGAATTTTATATATATTGAAGTACTGATTCATTTTAAAAATTGGCATTTTTCAATACGTGTTTTTTTTTATACATATCAACATGTGATTTTAATCACATGGATCTATTAATTATGTCTTTGATAATTTAAATAATAAAATTTTTAGAAAAATGTTTAAATTATAGAATTTAAACACGTCAGTTTGCGAACGTTACAGGAATATAATTTTTTTATAAAAAAAATATTCAAAGAGAACCTGTTACACATTATTTACAAGAATAGCATGGTTCACTGTTCAAGCTCAGAATTGGAGAACTGAATTCTGAGCTTGTCCGTCGCTAGCGTCGTCGATTTTGACTGCTAGAATTCGGTTCCCAGAAAATCGAATTTTGAGCAGCGTTATATATATATATATATATTATTTTTTGCGTTTTGAATTTATGTCATGTGTTAATTTTGTATCTAGAAAGATCCGTTCTGAAATCAGAACGGCCCGTTCTGCTTCCACTCGACATGTGTTAAATCTGCATCTGGAATGACCTGTTTCATTTCAGATGCAAAATTAACACATAACAAGTGGAAGCAGAACGAACCGTTTTGATTTTAGAACGTGTTGTTCCAAATGCGAAATTAACGCATGACATAAACCCAAAATGCAAAAAAAAAAAA